GTTAAATATCATTGGAGAAAAAAAAACACGAAGTTGTTGTCATACGTTTCGGGACAAGATTTATTTAAGATGAATTCAGATGAGCTGAGAAGTAACAGGAAGTAATTTCAAGGTTATCGATTTTCAGACATTTGTGTGATGATAGTCAGAGAAAGGAAACGAAATCCGACTTAGCTTATTTACTTGAATCATTTCGGAGCTATTCCAATTCTTCACCTTAACAAACAGACCCTTTGAAAAAAATAAATATGTATATCCCTGGACTTACGATTTCTCAAATGTAGATTGAAGATCATTCTAAAAGTATGTTATAGAATTGTTTATGAAATTTGATCGAGACTCTCGATCGGGATATACGTGTGTCTCGAGTAACCAAGCGTGAAACGTGACTTGCCGCCGAATGGCTCATCAGAGCAGGGCTTATAAACAACGAACCACGTTCCTTTGTTTGGATAATTAGGTACACCTGTCGATTGCAATCTCTTCCGTGAAAAAAAGCGACAGTGCATGAATAAAAAATTAAAGATATGCCGAATTGTATGCGTCCGACGGTACTTTTGGGCTAAACTGTACAAGAAGATTGTTTTCGCACGAATCAAACGTCGGCACGTATTGCCGCACGCTCTACGAGATTATCAGCGTCGCTTTCCAAGTTCCCAAGATACGAAATGTGCGGATAAAATATTTTCGCCATCACGAAAATCGTCTTTTCGCACGGGTTAATTCACATATAGATTCGGAAAATCTTTTTTGTTGCACGCTGTTCATAAAGAAGTTGCACTTAAATCCATAACGAAATATTATAAACATCGTAATGTGTTTAACAAAAAATATATTAATTTCCTTCAGCGTAATTGTAAACTAATGCTACTATTAAGCAAATTTAATAGATTTTATGATTAGTATATTAATTAATTTAATAAATTTTTTTTTATATGTCTACTACGCAACGACATTAATAATTTGAAAAACATACAAAACCTTTTTTAAACGATTATTTGTAATGTATTGTATATTGCAGCATAATTTTTAAATCGTTTAAATTACTATGCAGTAAATCTCAATTAATAATTTACATGCGATGATAAAGAAGAAAAAAGATAAGACTATTAAGAAAGTTACAAGATGGCACAAAAAGATAAATATACTTTATTAATACTTTGTTAATAATAAAAAAACGTGTTAGTAAAGAAAAAAGAAATAACACTTAAGAAAGTTACCAGGTGGCGCAAAAAACTAAATATACTTCAATTATACTTCGTTAATAAAAAAAAGTGCACACACACAAAGATCTAATTGCATATTGACGTCAAAATAAAATTGCTTCTAATGATTTTCAGGAAGCGCTGCAACGCAGACTTGCATAATAATGCTTATTACTGATAATTAACTAATCATAACCATGATTTTCTGATAATTAACTAACTAACCATGATATAGATTTCGTTTGTCTTGCGTAAAATCTCCATATTGTTTTCGCGTCTTGCCGCGCGAGACACTCAAGAGTAAACTCGTTTTTCAAAGAATGCGTAAGAGAATACGAATTATCAATTCAACCATAAAATCTTAGTCAATCATTGTTATTGTAATCAAGGTTGCGTGAAGATGATAAATAATAGCGATTGCGTTCATGGCTAGGTGTTAATTAACATGTGCTTTATTCACATGACTTCTCTTTTCTTGTCAATTTACTTCTTGTACATCAGTTTTTATAAAAAAAAATCATTGCGCACAAAAAGCTACTTTATTAGAATAATCTTTAATTAGCTATTTTTATAGCACTCATTTTAAATCCAATCATTTCGTTTAATGCTCGTCAAATTTAATCTTCTTTTAAATATTTTTTATTGCGTATTCTGATATAAAAGATAAAAATGTATATCTCTTCTTGTCCTTGGATATGCAGAGACATTTTTCTTTCCGATACGGTTTGAAGCGTGAAAGAATTTGATCATTTGTTTAATCGTTTTCTGGCTCCCCCTTTGGAACGGAGCTATTATATCCGGCAACAAATTACACACTTGCGGATTTAACCAGCGGTACAAGTGCACTTTGTGATTTAAACAATTACGCTGGCACGTATAGCCGTGTGAAAATTTTTGCCGCAAAATTTTCAATGTTGCAACCTGGGGGGAAAGTTAATATCTTGCGCAAGGCTAAAACGAAGTGATTTGATCGAAATGGGCCGCAGTTGCAATTTTCGGTCCACAGCCCTCGACTCTTTTTCTTCGTATTTATGTGAATTGTATCGTACAATATTACCGGTTTGCTCGCCATAATCACGCACATCTCGAGTTACTCGATTTTAGACCGAGTTTCTAATATATCGCTTGGAAAGATCGCGTTTCTTTCCATCGAAAAACCGAGATTGCAACCTATTCTCGATGTACGCAACGACATTTATAGAACACGGATATGTATTCCTTTGATAACCTCTCTCGAGGATCTTGTCAGATTATTCCGCATATAGCGCATTTTTATGTGACAATCTTTTCTCCTTTGTAAATGTATGCCATGCTTTTTAAATGGGTTTTCACATATTCGTTTATTTTGGAACGCAGAATATACAAATTGGGAATCCGAATCGTAAAATAGGCAAAATAACGACCAATTAAATCTAATCGAGTTTTGAGGAATGTACCTTTTTTAACCTTTACAAAACCGAAACTGATAGCGACGCTGAAATAGTATCATATTTTAAGGCAAAAAATACACTCATGTCAGTTATAATAAATCTTAGTTAAGGAAAATAAATTGTCAACTTTAAAAAATATTTCATAAATAGCTATTTTTTTTAAATAACTCCTTTCGATCTTTAAAAGTTAATATTAATCATTCAATTAATTATTGTGAAATGAAATGTTTAATTAAAAATCTCTATAATTTTTATATAAAATTACAATAACTCATTAAATAGCGTCAGATTCTCAATAGCTCAGCCAGAATAATTGCCAGATGACGTGCACTGCGTTAATTTCTCCAAATCGTAGAAGAGAAATAGACCGAAACATGTTGCGTGTTTTCCGTGTATCTTTTTAATGCTTTCCGTAATACTTACTTACGGTAAGCTATTATACATTTATTATTTTAGATAGTGCTGATTTTTTGCCTCTTTTTAAAGGACCTTTTTCATTTATTTCGTTCCGCGCAATTTGGGATTCAATCTGCCACGAAACTAATTTAAAGCTTTTACGCTGGCCTCATAATGCGTCATACACAAGTTCCGAGTCTTCCTTTTAATTTACGTTTTATAAAAATAATTTATCGAACATCCATTAGATTTATTTGCTCGTCTTTGGCCTATTATTTTTGCGTTATTATTGTATCGAGCGAAATTTTTGAATTTTATTTCGTGATTTTACGCTGGCCTCATAATACGTCATACACAAGTTCCGAGTCTTCCTTTTAATTTACGTTTTATAGAAATAATTTATCGAACATCCATTAGATTTATTTAGACTTCGTCTTTGGCCTATTATTTTTGCGTTATTATTGTATCGAGCGAAATTTTTTGAATTTTATTTCGTGATTTTACGCTGGCCTCATAATACGTCATACACAAGTTCCGAGTCTTCCTTTTAATTTACGTTTTATAGAAATAATTTATCGAACATCCATTAAATTTATTTGCTCGTCTTTGGCCTATTATTTTTTGCGTTATTATTGTATCGAGCGGAATTTTTTGCATTTTATTTCGTAATTTTACGCTGGCCTCATAATGCGTTATACACAAGTTCTGAGTCTTCCTTTTAATTTACGTTTTATAGAAATATTTATCGAACATCCATTAAATTTATTTGCTCGTCTTTGGCCTATTACTTTTTGCGTTATTATTGTATTGAGCGGAATTTTTTGCATTTTATTTCGTGATTTTACGCCTCATAATGTGTCATACACAAGCTCTGAGTCTTCCTTTTAATTTACGTTTTATAGAAATAATTTATCGAACATCCATTAGATTTATTTGCTCGTCTTTGGCCTATTACTTTTTGCGTTATTATTGTATCGAGCGGAATTTTTTGCATTTTATTTCGCAATTTAAAACTGTTTTGAACAACTTACAATTAGAATCCGTCTTGAACGACGAAAAAAATATATAATGAAATGGCTAATTTCTTCATAAATTTATTCGGGATTTAGGCAGCTCTTTTTAAGGTATCACATAAGAATAATTATAACGTTGTTTTTATGGAAGATATTTAATTACGATTGACTCAAAATAATTAAAATAAAATAACTTATAAATAGTATAATAATTGTTTAAATATTCAATTTTTTGAAATGTAATTTGAGAATCTAGATCATAAAATAATTGATCGATTACATATCAATCTGATCTATTATTTTATTCAGAACATATATTTTTTAATTATGTTCATTTAACTATTATCGCAAAAATGTAATGTTTAATTTGATTTAAAATTTATAGGTAATTGTAGGTAATAAATAGAGAAGTAGATAATAAAATACGTGATAAGAAGGTGCATGATAGAATTAATGTAGACGATAAATACGCACACGCTAATCACGTGAAAGATAGAGGGATGATCGGTTTGGTGACCGAAAAGTAAAGCATGAAATCCTATTTACCGTCCATTTCATCTTCCTATCACGTGTTTTATTATCTACATTTCTATTTATAATTTATATAACATTTATACAAAATCGCAATAAACAGCAAAAATTATAAGATGTCTGTCCTCACGGATTAATGTCCGCGTGTACGACTAAAACGAATTTCGCATTTATAGAAACAGCAACTGCGGCACATTAAACAGCCACATTAAAATTCAGCGAGATCGACTTGTTCTCGATATTCCTTCCCCGTACGTCATACTTAAAAATCTTTACTGTTAATCTTTGTGTTTACATGGGCATTTGCGTAGCCTCGAATTTACCGGATGTTGCCGCGGGTTGCCGTCCCCGCGATCGAAGAATAAAATAATCTCGCTGCAACGCGCGACCCTGAAGTACATACGAGACTTCCTTCTTGTACTTACTTCTCGACCATCTTCGCCTGTCGTCGGTATGAACTGGTAAGGCGGCATCGAAGAATTTGTTCACCACCACTGACGACTTTCTTTGAAGGTTCGCCAGCGTCCTTGTCTCGTCCTGCTTGACCAGTTTGTCGCCATTAGGGTTGATGTTCACCGACGAGTAAATCGGCCGGCGCGACAAGGTGTTCCAGATCACCATGAGATCCTTCATCTTCCCGGCACAATTACGGTGTCTGCCGCCGCGCGAATAATAATGCGATGTTGCAAAAGGGGGAGCGTATCCACACGGCTTTATCTACTTGCGACAATCTATTCGCCGGCGTTTCAGTAGTAACGGCAGACCCCCGGGGCCGACGATAAAGGCAGGTCCTCCACTTCTGGCGCGGGCGCGCGCTCCGCTCGACGACAGCTCGCCCGGGCTCCCTGCGCACGTCGCCGTTTTACAAATACCGTGTAATTTCCGTCCGTCCGAGGGACGCCCGCTGCGATTACACGCGCTGCGATTTCAACACTCTCGATCTTTCGAGCCGAAAAAGACTTCGGTTAGACGAGCCCTTCACTTTCTCCCAAGGCGAGATTCGACGTCCGGTTTCTCGTCCTGAGCGTCCTTGCGCCACGACCCTCTCCGGTCACTGACAATTTCGATCTCGGATACTTCGACAAACTTATGTCCAAGATCGAGGGATCCGCGGTACGGTACGATTTTCAGAATGCGAGAACGCGCGTTTGAGATGACTGATTAATCGTTCGACGAGCGATATCGCTTATCGTTTTTTTTTTTTACTTCCGACCCCGGATGTCTCAAGACGTTCGAAGCTTGTCAGCTCGACGGGAGCTCGCGCGACACTTGACCGATCGCTCGAAGATCGTCCGACTTTTGTCTACTCCGTCACCACCTGTCGTGTATATTATGACACCTACGGTCCCCGGTTGCCGATGCGGCGGTGCGTGCGGCATACGTCTCGGTGCAAGAGTGGCGGTACGGATCGGTACAGATTTGAAAAATACCCCGCTCCCACTACCTATTTGTGGCCGCTGCTTGTCGCTTAGTCGTCCTGTGGTGGTGGCCGACCGGTGGCAAGCACGTGGAATGCCATCCAATCGGGTCACGAGGTGGCAGTCCCACCGCCGAGAGGAGTTCGTGGTATCTGTTGACTGCAGGATCTCGGTGGAATTCTTGGCCCCTCTTCGGATCTTCGGGGGGGAAGGCGATATCTCAAGGCCGTTCAGCGGTCAACAGACGCGTTTCGGGATAGTCATTCAACCGCGCCTGCCTCCCTTTTGCGGTCGCGCGCAATCAGCTTTTCGGGATAATCGAAATCAAACCGGGAGCGACCTTGAGTCGCCTGATGTCGTCGACTTCTGTTTTATTCTTGCTTTTTATATATACATTTCGGCAGAGTTGGGAAAGTTATTTTGTAAAAGTAACTAGTTACAGTTACAGTTTTTTGTCTCTCAAAAAGTAACTAGTTATCGTTACCGACTCTGAAAAGTAACATGTTACAGTTACTCAAAAAGTAACGAATCGTTACTTTTCAGTTACTTTTAATAGAACAACATTAGCATTATAAAAAAAAAGATTTACATTTACATATTACATAATTTTATCTAAAAAAGAAAAGTAATGCGCGTATTTAAATAGGAGCATTTAAATATTTTGCATAATTACAATCAACATTACGATTAGGTGATTGAGCGAAAGTGTTGCATAATTTTGATCCATAAAAGTGACGATTTAATATGTATAAAGTAATTGTAAAAGTAACTATTAAATTAATTACTAGTTACTTAAACAATCTAACTAAGTTAAGTTACAGTTATGGAAAAAAAGTAACTGTAATTGTAACTTTGTTACAACGAGTTACTTCCCAACCCTGCATTTCGGGAGTATAAGGGTCCCATCTACATGAGAGTGGTATATATACATATATATATATATATATATATATACGACGTATAAGCCATAAGAAATTGACTAATCATAGTCGATTATTCTACTCATATTTAACTGATTGGTCAATTTTTTACGGCTTACGACTCCCATTGTAGACGGCCTCCCATCGTAGACGGCCATTGTAGACTCTCTTAATATATTACCCTTTACGAATGCACAGAACTATAACAAGGAGAAGCGTCTCTAAATGAACGCTATAAATTAAAGAATGGAAGATGTATGAAGCACAACCTACGCGACCGCACCGTCGCGTCGAACGAAACGATGTTCATGCGGTCTTCTAATCTTGAAAACACTCGCACTACTCCAGAGAAAGTACGGCGATTAAGTGTATAAGCATAACTACTTCCCCGACAAACTCAAGGTATTACAAAAGTAAATTGAAGTGAGCGGGCCGCCGTGAGTTTAATTTAATGTTTAATTTAGCCTTCAATTTTATTCACCCGCGGATTGCCCCATAATACGAATTGCGGGTGCCCTAAATTCCTAAGATGATACAATATACCATCCAACGTCCAACAGAATTGCGTTTGTATTATTAGTATACCTTGCATAATTACATATACTATATGTCATACGCTATTACGCACATTGCTTTATTTTTAAAAAACTTAGAAGAGCAAATATTGTTAATTAGAAAATATAAAAAAATTATCTTATCTTCTTCGTTAGGGTATTTTATGTTTTTTTTTTTAGGATAATATTTCTTAGAATTTTGCATTTTAATATGCATATCGAGATTATTAAATGACTCGAAACAAGATATCTATCGCTCAATATACATAATAAGATTCAGCTACTTTATTTTTATAATATGCATTTAAGGTATTTTTATCTTATAGATTGACGCAACGTTTTGCGAACGGCAAGAAATCCAATGCTGCAATCTCTCAAGAAGCAGTCATAACTGCAGTATACGATAGCACTTATTATGCAATTGAGATCGATTACATACCACGACGAAGCGCACAACGAGCGCGTGCATTATTAAGCATCCGCGCTTCCGCATGAGCGCGTTTTTCTAGGAGGAAATTAGAGAGAGATGGCTATTCAGAAAAAAATAAATAAAATAAAGAATAATCGAGCAATCGATGCAATTTGATTGCCTCACGACTTATATTGACTCTTAAAGATCTTTAATATCGACATCGCGTGCCGCGCCGCTGCAAATAACGCAAAGTAATTCGGCCGCGAACACAACGCGTGCAAGATCCCTATGTCCTTGCCGCGATCCTGTTTTCCCGCACAAGTTCGTGCAGTCCAACGTCATTGAACGCGCGTGATGAATACGATGTGTCACAATTTTTACGCGGTAGAGCGTTGTCAGGCGTGTGGAGCTGGCAAACCGGTAACGTTCACCGATTCCATGTCGGGGGATCCCCCGACCGGAATCGCACGCGGACTCATGCTGGTTCTCCGGAGTTATACAGCTTTATTTCCCCTCACTTACTCACTTACTCACAGCTGCACTTTACTCCAGTGTCTCGTGTGAGATACATTTATCTAACGCGTACTATTTTTCCATTCATTAGCATTCCGTTTACTCATTGCCGCCTAGGAATGCTCTTTCCATTAACTCATCGAGCATGATTCAGACATTTTAAGGTTTAATTTATTTGATAGAAACTTTTATATTATCCCGGGAAAAAAAGTTCCACATACAATTATATGTAATTATATACAAAATATGTCCATGTATATCCATATATTTCTTTTCTTTGTAAAATTATTGTTTGATACAAGTAAAATGATAATAATAAAAAGAAAACGTAAATAATAATTAAAAGGATAATTTTTGCATTGTTTTTTTTTATAAAAATTCAAGTTTTAAGAAATGAGAAAAAATTGTTTGTATATAATTATGTATGTATATTTTTAATCATTTATATATGAGCAATTTTTCTTATTTCTTCAAACTTGATTTTTTGTAAAAAACAATGTAAAAATTATTCTTTTAATCTTTTATATTTCCTTCTTATTATAATATATATTATCACATTTTGTATTGAAGAATAATTTTAAGTAAAGAAAAAAAACATATATGAATATATATGGACATATTTTGCATACAATTATATATAATTATATGTGGAACTTTTTTGCCAAGATTTAATTTTTTTATTACGACATATTGAAGCATTAAGCTCAACAGCTGGAAAGATAGAAAGGAAAATTTTTCGTAGCTTCTGACAAAATTTTTCTGCTATTATATTTTCTCCAAATATTTAATCCTGATAAGATTTACATGTAACAATAACACGTGAAGTGAAAATAATATCAGCTAGTTCAAAATTTAAAAAAACTTGATATTTTTAACACAATAACTATTAATAGGCCAAAGACGAGCAACCAAAATTAATGGATGTTTAATTATTTATTTATTCGAAAAGTAGCAAATACAGTCAATAATTGTAAAATTTAAAATAACGCAGTCGAGAAATCTTGTATGACAGATTAAATCCATACTGGAAATTGAATGGTCTTCACGTTCAACCGTGGGGTTTCCATTGAACGTGAGACCATTCAATTTCCGGTATGGATTTAATTTGTTACACAAGATTTCTCGCGACTGCGTTATTTTAAATTTTACAATTATTGACTGTGTTTACTACTTTTCGAATAAATAAATAATTAAACATCCATTAATTTTGGTTGCTCGTTGACCCATTAGTATTTATTATTGAATCGAGCTGAATTTCTTTATTATTTTATATGTTTATATTATTATAGTTTATGATATTCTTATGTGAGAAAAATAATTTACATTTTTTTTACAAGGATAATTACTATTTCAATCAGGTTTTGAACATATCTAAAATCTTGCATTGCATTTATATGTATATTTAGGAGTCGCGGTGGCTCGTATAAAACTTCTCACGCTCGCATGACAAATAGGTTTATTGGCCAGTGCGTTACGAAATTAAATTTGCGGTATATAAAATTGGGTCTTCCTAAATGATAAATCAACGTCGCGAGAGGCGACGTAAGTAAACTGGCGACTACACCAGGTGAACTCCACCGGTCCTCACAAGTTAACGGCCTTGCGCGATGCTCAAGGTTAAAAAATGCCAATAAATTATTCTGTGATACGCGAAATATTTCCGGATTTTTTTTAAATCGTTCGCCCTACCTTGGACGAAAACGGAACATATAATCCTTCTTTGTCAATTTATGTAAATCGCCATCCACTCGTTTGAGACTGAAGAGAACTTAAAGATTAAGATACAAGCCGGTGGAATACAATAATATCCCATAATGTGCGGCGACAAGATGATTCAACCACAAAATTGATACAGTACACCTGATGGCGTTGTAAGCTTAAACGACAGAGTTTTAACAATCATCCTCATTGCTTTTAGTGAAGTGATGATACATTTTAAGTTAAATATGTTCCGAGCTTTAGTGAAGCTTCAAACATAAAAGCTTTTGGAATATGATTAATATGCTGCAGAAGTTTTCGAGTTAATTAGTACTCAGAGGTTTAAAGTGACAAAAAATGTATACGATATTCTGAGGCTGTTTTAGTAATAGTGAAAGTAATTATATCTTTGTAAAACATACGCATAAAGATATATCGTGTTTTAATTAATTCTTATGTTGTTCTCACAAATCGCACTGATTAATATCTTTTTTATTGCGTATAATCGTTTACACATAATACGTTGTCACGGTCTATGAGCACGTCGCCGACTGTGCACACATGTAATTTTGACTTTCGACGTCCCGTTAACCCCATATCGAAACGTTCGCGAAGTCAACCAAGCTTGAACGCGGCCTGCAGCGGCATTATCGTGATAGCGGGTTTTCCGATTACCTATCCGTACTCCCGCGGCATCATCGATATCGCGACATAATACCGCGTCACTGATTTGGCCTGGAGCCGTATCGTGTTTCCATTCGCTCGTCATAGAGACGAAAGACACTGTTTTTCTAAGATAAGAAAATAAAATCACGGCCTTATGCTCGAGGCGATGCAACAACCACTTCAAAAGTCAATGCACCGTAGTAATGTTCA